TATATATTAATTTATAGTTAAGTGAACTTCATTTTACAATCTAAACTGTATTAAATTGTAAAATAAAAATTATTAAGTGAGGAAGATAACCTTTGGATAAAGATCCAACCCCATTTAATAATGGGTTTTTTTTTTTATATATGACACAGAATAAAGGTGCATTTATTATACTTTTTATTATTAATCATGTATTAATTTACATAAGTTAGCATTAATTTTAATATCTATGATACATACATATTTTTTCTTGGATAAATGATAAAACTAATATGAATTTTTAATTTTATTATATGTATTAATGATAAAAAATGTAATAAATACACTTTTATCATGTACTTTAAAAATATAAAAAAATCTTTTAATAATTAATATAACGTAGTTTGATACAATTTCAACTACCCTATACTTTTTCATATAGTAAACATCTTTAGTTTTCGTTATGAATATCAAGAAAACATTTTTTTTTTTTTTGTTATGAATCTAAGATGAACTTAATCCCCAATGATCTAAATAACTTAGTGATTATTTTTTTCTATTTAAAATAAGAGATTTTAAATTTGAGTCGTATGAGTCATGGATGGCAATGGGTACCCACGGGGGCAGGGACCCCCTCCCCATCTCCATTCCCGCCAATAATAGGTATAGAGATCTTCATGGGGATTTTTGGTGGAGGTTCAAAAATAACTTTCATCCTCATACTTGTAGGGAACGATAGGTCCCCACAGGTATTCGGACTCCCCACCAAATAAAATTATCTCTTACTCCGTTGCTTGTTAATTAAAATTAAACTCCATATGGGTCTGCTTAGACTCCACTAGTTTCCACATTCATAAAATAAAACTAACCTAAATAATCATATAAAGTAAAATTTTGAAACAAGACAAACAAGCAGTAAATATACACAGCCGATATATATATGTCAAGTAAGTCTAGCAAGTCAGCAACAAGTTTATAAAGAAAAAAGGCATAAACTACCATATAAGTCCAACAAATCCAGCAAAATGTTCATTAAAAAAAAATGCATAAACTACAGTTGTCATAAGCAAAGTTCATAGAAAAATGCATAAACTAATGCCATACATGTCCAGCAATAAGTTCATTAAGAAAAAAGACATAAAAGAGATGAGTTACCAATGGTTAGTTGAGAGATTGGAGAAGAGCTATTGAGTTGAGTGTGAGTGAGAGATGAGAAAAGATTAGTGTTGCAGTGGTTGCATAATGAGTAGTGACGATGAGAGTTTGAAGGGAATCACAGATGAGGATTGAGGAGCAGAAACAAAGTTATAGCGTAAAGCCATAGAGGAGACTGGAGAAAAGGAATTGCAAATTTGAAATTGAAATCTTTGGATAATCCTAGGGTTACCAATGCAAATTGGGCTAGGCAATTAGGTTTAGGAAGATTAGATTGACAAAAAGAACGGGTTAGACTTGACAATTAAGTTTGGGAAAACTAAAAAAAGAATGGGTTGTGAAATTTAGGTTGTATTGGTACTAGATTATCTAATAAGGTTAGGTCAGTAAAAATTAATTGTTAATATATTTATAAAAAATATATAAATATATATTTTTTATTTTATATGGATCCCCAGGATTCCTTACGGTGTAAAGAAAATTCTCCACGAAATTTCATAGGGAAAAAAATGTCTTCATCGTCGCTCTACGGAGAAAAATATTTTTAGAATCTCCATTCTCGTGGCGAGAATCTCTGCGAAGCTCCACGGGTTGCAGAAGAAATTGTCATCCCTACGTATGACATGTAGGTGACGTGGGATAAAAAATAAGAGATAATTATCTCTTATTATGCAACCAAGATAAAAAAAAAAAAAAAGAAAAAAAAGAAAAAAAAGACCTTACCGTATACACAATTACCCGGTATAACTTTTTGGCAATAAGTTCCCTTCAGGCCTGAACCAAAGAAGGCCTAGGTTTTATTAAAGACGGAGGCCCGTGATTCTCCGGCCCTCATTTGGACCAAGTCTAGCCGTCTAGGCATGCTAATGAATTCATGACTTAGGCAAGAGAGAAGGGAATCTAATTGATGGAGAACTGTCCTTCTATAGAACAAAAAGCTTAATAATTGAACTGGCACTGGGCCTCTTGGGCCCGTTAGACGGTACACCAATTCATCCAACCAGGAAGTGGGTTATTTATTTATTTATATATTTTTTAACCTAAGAAGTTTGGGAGGAAAGGGGTAATTCCCTTTTTTATATAACGTTAAGTTGGTATCAACAACTAATTCTCATATATATATATATAGGAGTAGACTCCCACCCTTAATCCCCCAAGCTTTTAAGTTTATAAATGAACCAACTTACTTGATAAGTTTAATTCAATTAAAAATTAAATTTGATTTTTCTTACTTTAAAATTGTAATATTTGTTAGAATAGAACTAAGATGTTGTCCATATTTAGTTCTAATTTGATAAATGTTTTTATATTACATAATCCATTTGATTGTATTAAAAAAAAAAATTAAAGTTTGATTTATTGAAATTTAAAATTTTAATTTTGAATCTATAGTCGAAATAATTTTGAGGTGGACAAAGTTGACAAGGTTCAATCATTGGCATCTCACCGTGGTTCGTGCTCAAGGCACAGCATTTCCAATTTGCATGGCTCCGGACTACAAAAATAATCAAACATCTACGTATTTGATTGTGATTGCTGATCACTACCTAGAACTAGATATTCCCACAACTACCCCAAGCCCCACATTCTCCAACGCCACATCCAAACGCAACAAATCCTTATGCATCATGAACTACTTCAACTTTGCACATGTTCTGTCCCCAAAACCCAAAAGCCTATCATACCCCCTAAAGTGCCTTGACAAAAAAGTACCCATCTTTCATAGCATTGCAGTTTTTATCCAAGACAAACCATGATGGACCTAAAAAGCAGCAGAATTAGGCTGCATTCTCCCTTTCGGTTGACACAATAATTATGCCTTTCGGAATCATATCTCCTCCCTCTAAAACCTTAGATCATATGATTAATAATATAATTAGAAAAATTAGTGCACTGATTAGCAGAATGGCACAAGATTGGTCGGTCAGAGGAGCAGAGTCAATTCAATTAATATGTTGATGATTTTGGTAACTTGGGTAGAGAGTGAGGGTTGGGAATAATTTGAGTGGATGAAAAGAAGGTGAGGGAGCATGTGATGCAAAGCTCCACATGGGATTGAAAGCACAAGGGGTAAAGGTGGGTGAGTGGGAATAAAGAATGCCAATCTGTAGAATTGCAGCTTCTCAAGTATAGAATTTAGTGTTGAATTAAAGAAAGCTACTTGTACTTGCTTTGGTTTAGTGAAAAATAAGTGTATCCTCCAATCATGTGGTTGTCCTCAGGGCCTAATGAGAATGGTCTGTTGGGTTACAATATCAAAGTCGTCTTTATATAGATGGCCCCCACCTTTTTTTATTTAATGTTGAATCATAAATGCAAACCTAATTTGATGCATGTAAATTCATCCATAATACTTATTCCGTTAAAAATCGATTTATGACTGGCAGTAATTAATTTTAATTTGAAGTGCATTAGGTGAAATTTTTTTTATTTATCAAATAATAGATTTTATATAATAAAATTTAATATTTTATTTTTTCAAATCACTTCATGTATCTTAATATTTGAATTTGAGACTTTCAATATAAAAACTCAAAATTTTAATTATTAAAATGTCTTTTAGGAGGTGGATAAAAAATTTAATAGTGAAATGGTGGCAAAAGGGAAGTATTGATGTGGATATTTATCATTGCACACACAATGTATCATAGTTGATTAAACGATCATTCATATATCTTAGTTTATGAATATAGAGGCAAAAGGAAAAAACAAGAGCAAGATTTTATATCCTTGAGCAATTTTTGGTTTGCATTGGATTGTTCTGTTGATGTGCCCACCTCTGAGATGGGGAAGGAAAAGCCATTTGGTATTTTTCTCCACGATACGCTTGTCACACAAAGAGCATTATATATTTCCCTCAAATAATGGACTCAATATGAAGCACGCTATGATGATTGTTGTGGGTGAAATGTTTGGATCACATAATCAATAATTTTCAAAATAACTTGAACTAGCATAGGTTTGGATTGGGTTATCATTGCAAAAATGAGTGCTGTGCAAGCGTGGTCTCTTGAGGGTGGTTCTGTTTCTTGCTCTTCTTTGACAAGGGAGAGCTCAAATGGGACGTTGGTTGGAGCACTCTGTTTCGCATTCAGACATTCTGCGGTGGAGCCGTGAGAGGCCCGTGAGAGGGGAGACGCAGTGGAAAAAGGTCTCGTCAGAGAACAAGATGCCACACCAAAAAAAATATAAAATTCCATCATTTATTCCATTTCCATGATACGAATCTCTCTGTAAACTGTTGTTTCTGTGACACCAATAGCAAACATGTAAGGAGCG